TTGACCAGGATGGTCTCGATCTCTTGACCTCGTGATCCACCCGCCTCGGCCTCCCAAAGTGCTGGGATTACAGGCTTGAGCCACCGCGCCCGGCTATGGGAAGATCTTTTGAGAGTAGGCAATTATCCTCCTCATCAAACTTTCACCCAATAGGTTTTAGCATCTATTGGTGATTCTTGACTCATTTCAGTTATTACTATGATGCCAAATGGTGATTTCTCTAACTCCATCACTCCTTGGAAATTTATTAAATTTATTAAATGGCATTTTACTGAAAAAAAGCAAAAAAGGCTGGGCACAGTGGCTCACAGACGCCTGTAATCCCAGCACTTTGGGAAGCCGAGACAGGTGGATTACCTGAGGTCAGGAGTTCGAGACCAGCCTGGCCAGCATGTCGAAACCCCATCTCTACTAAAAATGCAAAAATTAGCCAGGCATGGTGGTGGCACACCTGTAGTTCCAGCTACTTAGGAGGCTGAGGCAGGAAAATCCTTTGAACCTGGGGGAGGTTGCAATGAGCCAAGATTGCACCACTGCACTCTAGCCTGGGTGACAAGAGCAAAGAGTCCATCTCCAAAAAAAAAAAAAGGACTTCCTTTCTATTTATTAATGTATATATTTATCAGTAGTATACACTCATGGATTTTTATTTCATTCAATAGGTTATAATCTATTACTGTCATTATTTATTAGGTTGGTGCAAACGCAATTGTAGCTTTTGCCATTCTTTTTTGTTTGTTTTGTTTTTGAGACAGTCTTGAACTACTGGGCTAAGTCATTCTCCAGCCTCAGCCTCCCAAAGTGTTGGGATTACAGGTATGAGCTGCCATACCCAGCCTGAATTTCTACTTTTAACACCCACTAGGAGTGTGACTTTGGGCAAGTTTCCTGTTCTGAGAGTCAGTTTCTTCATCTGTTATATGGGAATAACAATATTATAGCTACATGGGGTTATTAAAGTAATTAAATATGTAGGTTAGTAAAAGAATCAAATAAGAGAGGTTAAAGCACCCAGCATAGTACACTGTAGTGGCTCCAAAATGTTAGTTCCCTTCCCTTTTGCTTTTCTTTTTGAGATGAGAGTCTGGCTCTGTCGTTCAGGCTGGAAAGCAGTGATGTGATCTTGGCTCACTGTAACCTCCGCCTCCTGGGTTCAAGCAATTCTTCTGCCTCAGCCTCCAGAGTAGCTGGAACTACAGGCGCAAGCTGCCACACCCAGCTAATTTTTTGTATTTTATTTATTTATTTATTTATTTAAGATGGCCAGGCTGGTCTTGAACTCCTGACCTCAGGTGATCCACCCACCTTGGCTTCCCAAAGTGCTAGGATTACAGGCGTGAGCCACCACACCCGGCCAGCTTCTTGTATTTTAGTAGAGATGGGGTTTTACTGTGTTGTCCAGGCTGATTGTGAACTCCTAAGTCAGGCAATCCGCCCACCTCAGCCTCCCAAAGTGCTAGAACTACAGGTGTAAGCCACCACACGCAGCCTCCCTTTTTCTTCCAAATATAAAATGATAGCTTTACTCTCAACACTTTAATAAGGTTCAATAACACACAAGATTCAACTGCCCAAAAAAAAAAAGATTCAACTTGCTGGGTTCAGAATGTTATCATGGATTATCAGTGAATTGCTTTACAGATTTTTAAAACTAAAAATCAGCAACAAAAAGTATATAGCTCACATACGATGCTCTTGTCCTTAAAATAAAGTAGATAATAATGTTCCCTTATGATCATCAATTTCTGTTTGCTTTAGACAAGAAAACATGGAACAAGGATTGAAAATAAAGAAAGATTGAAAAAAAATAACAGTAAAACCATTCTGAAAAAGTGTCTTGTTTCAGGGAGTTAAGGTCAATCGAAATGTCTTAACTACATGGCAGTATTTCAAAGAATTAAAAATCTTTGATATTTACAACCACATCAGTATCACCACAGAGATAGTTAATGAGGTTGAGGAGGCTTTCTACCTACCTACCATATTATCTTTCTCCTGATCCTGCTTCTTCAGGTAACTTAATACAGACATTGTGTCTTTCTCCATTTTACATTGCTGTTTCTTTAAGTCCTCATTGTTTTTTGCCAGTATCCGGGAAGTATCACGATACTCAATCCTAGAGAGTTCTGTGACTTCCAACCTGGCCTCCCAAAGGGAGGCACTGGCCTTGGCTCTGTCCACCACAGATTCATCTGTTTTCATTAACTTCCTGCATGGGAAGAGGACATTGACAGTATACGAACGACTATTTATACAACTCTAATATACAGACAGTATATAACTCCATTATTATTAGTTTTCTTTTCTTAAATTTGTTTTGCTTGGCATTGCCTGGCACACATGAGCAAACATTGTTGGATGAGTGAGTTAATAAGAAATACACTTCCAAATTTTTTTTTTTTTTTTGAGACGGAGTTTCGCTCTTGTTACCCAGGCTGGAGTGCAATGGCGCTATCTCGGCTCACCGCAACCTCCGCCTCCTGGGTTCAGGCAATTTTCCTGCCTCAGCTTCCTGAGCAGCTGGGATTACAGGCACGCACCACCATGCCCAGCTAATTTTTTGTATTTTAAGTAGAGACGGGGTTTCACCATGTTGACCAGGACGGTCTTGATCTCTTGACCTCGTGATCCACCCGCCTCGGCCTCCCAAAGTGCTGGGATTACAGGCGTGAGCCACCGCGCCCGGCTACACATCCAAATTTAAAAAAAAGAAATATTCACTTGTATTCACATAAGAGAATTAAGTAAGTGCCTCTTCCTGAAAGAGGGGAGCCCTGGAGCAAAACACAAAAAGACTGGAAAAACAAAGGGAAAAGACAGGATAAGCCAAACTCATTTCATAAAGCTTTCATCTTTTTTTTTTTTTTTCCTGAGACAGGACCTGGCTCTGTCACCAGGCTGGAGTGCAGTAGCATGATCTCGGCTCCCCACAACCTCTGCCTCCTGGGCTCAAGCTATGCTCCCACCTCAGCCTCCTAAGTGGCTGGGACTACAGGCTCATGCCACTATGCCCAGCTAATTTTTTTATTTTTTGTCAAAATGGGTTTTCGCCATGTTGCCCAGGCTGGTCTTGAATTCCTGGGCTCAAGTGATCCTCCCACCTCAGCCTCCCAGAGTGCTGAGATTACAGATATGAGCCATTGTGCCTGGCCAGCTTTTGTATCTTTTCATTTACTTCTTTGATTCTCCCATATTTATTTTATTTAATACAGATGGGGTCTTGCTATGTTGCCTAGGCTGGTTTCCAACTCCTGGGCTCAAGCAACTGCCCACCTCTGCCTCTCAATGTGCTGGGATTACAGGTGTGAGCCAGTGCCCTGGCCTGATTGTCCCGTGGTTAAACAATCTCATCTCAAGCCGGGCGCGGTGGCTCACGCTTGTAATCCCAGCACTTTGGGAGGCCGAGGCGGGTGGATCACGAGGTCAAGAGATCGAGACCATCCTGGTCAACATGGTGAAACCCCGTCTCTACTAAAACTACAAAAAATTGGC